TTAAAGAATTTGCCACTGACGATTCAAACGCAAGTTTTGAGCAGTGTAGAGTAGCGCTTGGTGTTTGTCATTTCTCCGATCACATATGCAGACATGGTTTTATGTTTACGTGGCGCGATGCAATGCAACGCATAAATAGACAGTATAAGTCATTATAATCAGTAATTATGTTCCCACTGGATGCAACAAATGCCACGTTTATAATGGGTTTTATTGGTTTTGTCTCGTCGCGCCGGGACACGGCATCACAGTATGGTAAGGGGCGTAACATTTCCGTCACACGCTTGAGGAATTCGGCCAATCACAACGCACTGGATAGCTGGCCAATCAGAGCACACCTCGCTTTTCAGACCGATGAGCTATGTAAAAATCGACGTGTTTCAGAAAGGCAGGGCATAGAGGAGAAACAATAATGTATAGTATGTGGAAAATAATGTGTTTTTTTAACCTTAACCCGCATAAACACATTTCATTACACCAAATACACAAAATAATGTTATTTTTAGCAACATCATATGACCCCTTTAAAGCAAATAATTCTGCATAAGGAGCAGCGTGATTGAACTGACCAAATTTAGACATGAATGCATTATTCCTCTTGTGCTTTAGATAAACACATTTTTTAATTATGCTACTTTTTAATTATAAAAGATACATAAAAAATTAATTAAAAGTTTCATTCAATGTCCACTGGGCTGAAAAATCTCAGGAGGCACAGACAATTTGCTTGTCATTGCAAACTTGCGTGAAGAACAATGCATCCAAACAGCGTGAGTGGTATCGTGTCTAGAAAGTGACACTTCAGCTCGTGTCGTACAGTAAATAGTGATGAAGGTATCATGACAGCCCTAGTACACGAATAGCAGGCACCATTCCTCAGTTACGGTTAAGCCTATGGATTGCTTGCAGAGAGAAAGTTGAGTAAAGGCATCTGCATCTATCATAACCAAGCACCTGCCGTTGCCACCAGCAGGGTTTAAATCACCGGCACCCTAACCAGTGCGCTAACTAACTAGATTATATGGAGCTATCCAGCCTTCTGTTCTGCTTTAAGAAAGGTCAGCAGTCAGCACAGGCATGATATATACAATTTGTCTCTCTCTCTCTTTTGTAGGGGAGTTTTATATCACTGTGACCCCTCTTCACTGACCTTTAACCCTTTGGAGATAGAGACAGTAGATGAGAGACCAGGAAAGAAAGATATTTAGAGAAAAGTTATTCATCAGATGACACTTATAACCTACTAAAGCTGACAGAGTAAAGGAAAGAGCTCAGCCTCTCCGTCTCTTTATATCCATCTCTCCATTTTTCCTGTGCACACTATCATTGTGTTACACACAGTGTGTAAGTGTGAGTGTGTGTGTGTCGGGGATCTCCTTCTCGGCTGGTGCTTGTTATATTCCCATGATGCTGCAGCACGATGCACCAGAATGTACCAGGAACCAATTTTCTCTGTCTCTTTTTCTCTCAAGTATTTTCATTTCAGATCACCAGTAATGGTGTCTTACTGGCCTGCTTTAATCAGCTCTAATTTATTATGCTACTTGTGTTGTTTGGTAGTAATGCTTTTTGTGAGTAAAATAGCTTTATTTGAGCTCATTAATAATTAGGTGTGATTTGAGTTGTTGTAATTTATGATCCTCTGTAATTTGAGTCCACATAGTTTAAGTAGATGAAAGGCAAGTTACTTTATGAACAAGTTTAGACACTGTAGTTTATGAGCTAGTAGCTGTGGTTATAGGCTGGTTGAATTACTAGTTGTAATTTTAGACACTGTAGTTTATGAGTTTGCTGTAAATACAGTTACTGGGAGTTAAGTATTATATTGTGTGTGTATATATTAGGGCTGCCCCCTAATAGTCGACTAATCGTTAGTCGACCAGAAGAGGCTTGGTCGACCAAAATGTTATTAGTCGCTTAGTCGCAGAAAAAAAAAAACCCCACAGGCGTAGTCACGCAGTCAGTGACTAACAGATCGTTAACGGCTAGTCTATGGTAATACAGTACATCGGGCAGGACATCCAAATGCTCGCCTATCATTCATCGACCTCAAATATGGCTTATCATCTGAAATATGTAAGTATTAGCAACTTTACATGGACGCTCAATCTAATGTTAACCAAGAGAAATATGCGCTATTCAAGTGTTTGCGGAAACTGAACAGTAGCGCGCTCACTGCATGACGGAGGTGCCGTGCGCTCACTCTTAAAATACTGGTCATTTTTGCTCATACAGATAAGCAGTTGTGATTGATTATTCATAATTCAGGTTTTTATTTAGCAATGACACATTAAACTGAAAAGTGACATTAAAGACATTTATAATGTTACAAAAGTTTTCCATTTAAAATAAAAAAAGTTTTATTCATCACAAAAATTCTATCAAAGTTTCCACGAAAAAAAATATGAATCAGCACAACTTTTTTCAGCATTGATAATGATAAGAAATGCATTCATGAATAATTTTGAAAAATAATGTGACTGGAAAAATGGATGCTGGGAAAAATTTTATAAATGTATAGTCACAGTCACTAGAGTTAGTTGCTGTAGTCTCTGGAGTTTGTGTGTTAGTAGCTTTAATTATTGTGCCTGTAGTCAGCGTTGAAAGGAATGATGAAAGGAAAGCAACAGTAGAAAGAGGATGTGTATCATTAGCCTTCTCTGATTCTTCTTTGCACTGTTTTTCTGCCTCTCGTATCACCTTGGACTTTCAGACCTTTGTTTTGTTGTTGTAAATTTGCAGTTATAGCAGAGCTCCACTGTGTAATGATGAATCATTTAGAATAGTAAACATTATTCATTTATTATGATGAATTAACAGGTGCTTCTAGAGAATATGTTTTGATTTCTTCATAGAGCACAAACGTGTTTAGGCAAACGTATCAGGAGTAGCTATTACGAAGCGTAATAAGCTGCTGTCATGAGGTCTTTAGGCACGAGGCTTATTGGTAATTGTGTGAAGTTAGAAAGATGTAATGATTGTAATGTAATGATTAGGGATGTAACGATTAACCGCGAGCCGGTTGAAAATCGATTCAAATATGTGACGATTCAAATCGGTT